CAAATGTAGGGACCCGAAGGGTCCCTACATTTGTATCTTTGTGGTAAATACCCAGTAGTGCAATTGCTGGATCGAACGGTAGCTCTAATTTCAACTGTTTGAGGAACCTCCATACTGTTTTCCAGAGGGGTTGCACCAGCTTGCACACGTTTTCATCTCTTTCTTCTACTTCCCAGATTTCCTCTATCTTCCAACCCATTTGACTGAATGTTTTAATTCCAGCTATCATCTTTTTAATTTCTATGAGCTCTTTCTTGTTCTCTGAAGGCTCCTTTTAAAAATCACAACCCGGGACACCTGGGTGGTGCAGTCGATTAAGCACCCGACTCGATTTCGGCTCAGGTCATGATCTCAGGGTCATGAGATGGAGCTGTGCGTGGGGCTCTGTGCTCAGTGTGGAGACTGCTTGAGATTCTCCTCTGTGTCTGCCCCTTCCCCTGCTCAAGCTCTCTCTTGAAATAAAATCTTTAAAATCACGTCCTTTTCTTATCTCATGGATTCAATATGTTTTCATAACTTGCTGAGAATGTTACAGGGCAATTATGTTTTATTTTGCCCTCTCCATTATTTATATGCCCAATGAGGTCCTTCTTTCTGTTTGGTTTGTTTTCTTCCTTGAAGCTTCATGTGCATTGGCCCCCTTTATTTACTGATGAGCTTTACTGTATGGCAACTGGGAGACCAGCCCCAGCATCTTGGTTGGGGAACCCCCAGTTGTCACTATCGCTTTTTTTTCTCTGGGGGTGGGTCATCGTTTGCCTTGGGCCGTAAGTTCTCACAGGCTCTTTGGAGCCGCACGGGGCAAAGAAGAGCCTTTGTTAGTGCACAGGTCAATGTGTAGACTTCATTCCTCCTGACATCTTTCAGTGCTTTCACCTGCCATCCACTGAGTGGTGTTGGTGGGGACCTAGGTGTCCATGTACTTGCTATTTATTATACAGACTTTCAACCAATCCCTCTTGCTTCTAGCCATCTGCCTGACTCTGACCTTTGACAGCCCTTGGAGCTGCCAATTTCCCAATGTTCTGCAAGGCAGACACCCAAATACCAGCTTTCTCCACTCTGATGACTCAGTTGCCACTCGTCTATCCCTTGCCATTTTTTCTCCTGCTCCATGGTGCCTGCTCTCCCATTTTCTTTGTCCTTGCTAGTTTATACCATTTCCCTCTCCTTTACCATCATTTTAGAGGGATTTTAAATTTAGAGAAAGAAGCATGTATCCAATTAAGTTCATGAATGCATTAATTCAATGCTTAACAAAGTCTTTTTACCAATAATTTACCAACCACAAGGCATCAACTTACTAATCTCTTGGATCTCTGTCTTTGCTACATTTTGGTGTTCCTATTTATCTATCTTCGTTGACTAGTGATGGGCAGAAAAATACCTTTTCCATACAAATTTGATTGTGGGATGACTTACATCCCTTAGTGTTCAACCTACTGGATCATTCCTTCTTCCTTCCTGTAAAGCCACAGGTTCCTGGTTCTCCTTTCCCCTTTCCAGATGCTTCTTTTTCCATCTCTTCTGCTGGTTCCTCCTTCTTTATTTGGTCTTTAATGTTGGACAAAGCTTGGTCCTGGCGCTCTTCTCTTTCACTCCACATTCTTTTCCTGGGTGGCCTTCCATGGCTTAAATGTCCCCTGTATGTCAAAGATCCCCAAACTGACATCTCTAGCCCACAGCTCTCTTTTTAGCCCATATTTTAAATATAAACATGCAATGTCCATTTGTCTATCTCACAAGCATTTCAAATTTAACATGTTCAAATTCACCCTTCAAATTCATCCCTCCTGCAGTCTTTATTACATCTGCAGTGGGCACCTCCAACCCTCAGATGTTAGAACCAGAAATCTGAGAGTCATTCTTGACCATCCTTCTTCCTCAATGTCCCCGCATCCAACTCATTGGCCCAGAAACCTTAAAGTAATTCTTGACATGCCTTGCTTCCCCATTCTCCCCTCAATCAATCCAACAGCCAATCTGGCTGAATTCACCATAAAATACAGCATGTACCTTTATAACTCTTTTCATTTTTATCACCACCACCCTAGTTCAAGATGGAAGATGGCTAACAGGTCAAAAATAAACCTGTGGAATGGCTTTTTAACCCAATTAGGCACAATCCTGAGGATTTCGCTGAAGTATTAGTTTACACGGTTTCACCGCAGTACTTCTGTAGCTTTTTTTTGTCCCACTTGATTCAATGTCAGTTTCACTTGTTTCCCATTTCAGATGCTGAGCCTCTGTGTGCTCCCCTCCCTGTCCCCACCCCCATCTTTGAACCTGTCTCCTTCTCTGCCCTTGGGGTGTTGGTGCCAAAATGGATGTGGAAAACCATCCTACACCTGGTACAAGGCTTATGTTTAACAGATTTGGTAAATCGGTCACTTAGAAAATTAAAAATGCAACTAATTGATCATTAGGGGAAGTGGCTTTTTTCTTGACAAATTGATCATTTAGTAATTAAGTTTTGGGAAACTGGAGAAGGGAAGAGATTCTTGGCCAACGGACCTAGAGGCTGTTCAAGCCATTATCACCTTTTCCCTATACCGAGTCCTATCACCTCCAATCGGTCTCCCCACTTTCATTCTGGTACCCCTCCCACCAACCAAATCCACGTCACCCCAACAGCAGTCCCAGTGACCCCTTAGAAAGAAAGAAACCCCAAGTGAAAGCACGGTGATGGCTTTCAGCGTGCTCAGAGTGAATCCAAAAATTGGCCATAAAGGCTCGGCAGATCTATCACTGCCCACCTCGCTGGCCACCGGCCCCTCTTCCCCTTCACCCCTAGCGAGCTGCTTTTCTAGTAATTCTTCAAACCAAGTCTTCAAATACTCAATTCTTTTCCTGCTAAGTGTCTTCACTTAGGAGGAATAGCAATTCCTTCTGCCTCAAATGCATTTCCTCTCATTCCTTACCTGCCTCCCGCTCATCCTTCAGGGCTCAGCTCAAATCTCTCTTAAAGAAGTTTCTGTGACTTACCTACTTAAGTTAGGTTCCCCTATTATTATCGTCCGGTACCCTGAATTTTCCTTCATTGTGTTTAACATCATTTGTAGTTAAAAATGTATATGTGCTTTTATTTGCTTCATGCCTTTCTGCCTGATTGGATTGTTAGATTCATAAGGACAAGGAGAGCTGGGCAAATGCTTGATAAACATGTATGAATAGATGAATAAATTAATGAGCATTTTCTTAAATTCTGATATCACACATAAAAATCACACAAATGTAGAGGAATTCAGCATATCCCGGTCCCTTGTAATTAGAATGTGGACTTAAAAGTCAAGAACCTTAACAAGGAGAACTCCAACAACACATTCATTGAGTGACTGGCTGACTTAGGAAGAAGTAAGGCCATGCCCAGCCAGTTCCTAGGAATATACTGATCTGCAAACTAGTATCACCATATTCTACTACTACTGTCTCTGGGCTTTTTAAGGGTTAAATATTTCTGAAGAATTCCTTTAGACAGGTAAAGGTTACTAGAATATGATAAAAACTATGAATTCACAATCATGATGAAAGTAAACAGAAAAAAGGTCAACAATTGTTTGAAGAGATGATGGCAAGGGAAACAACACAAAGAAATGAATATACCTACTAACCTTGAGGAAGCTGAAGCACCCCTGTGCTTACACCTGAGACCAAGTCACCCAACACATACTCTTTGAACTTGTATGCCGGTAACCACTTTGTTATGGGCAGGAACATATAAATGATATTTCGTATCTTCTTAGGAGTACATCTGGGAGGACAAAAACAAAACAAAACAAAACAAAAAAACCCAGAGATAAAATGAGGAATACTTCTATAGAATTCATACCAAGGCATTTTCCCTTCCCCATATCCTGAAGCAATAAGGAAAAATTCACATTCTGTGCTAAGAATGACCTTTCCACTCTGTAGAGATGAGACACAAGAAGATCTGTTTGTAAACTTTTTTTAAGGGAAACATCTGAATTGGCTCCATAATAATGCTCTACAATTTACCATGAAAAATAAAAATTTAGCTTCAAAATAATTGAGATACCTTGGAAGCTATTGTTTTAGCAGATGAAATCCTAATGTACTTTCTGTGTTGGTGTAAAACAAAGTGGGGGAATTATTTACTGATTGAGTAAATTTTTGGATGTGGAACCACTGACTGATAGGCCCATTTAGTTTCCCCTGTCCTTATAAATGAAGGAAATTTATACAAGTACTATGAGCTTTATGGATATGTAGTCAATGCTTTAGAGTCTTTGATTAGGTAACCTCAAAACACCATTTGTCAATGATGTGTTGTAGTGGATTCTGTGTCTGGTTGTCTTGATTAGGTGGAACATCAGGCTGATAAAACCCAGGCCTTGCATTTAATCCCTATAGAGTTCAGTTGATTTTTGTACATAGACTATGTTCTGGGCCCTGGCCAGTCCTTTTGCCAGTCCTATGCCAATCATCAGAGACATCACTAAATAAGAGATGGACAGATGGGTTTCATCACCACCACGACAGCCCCAAGTTCTCCGGGTAACAAGGAAGCAAGGAAGCAGTTTATTCCATTCAAAAGACAATGCATTCTTGCAGCATGCATGGTACTTTATATCATGTCTTCAGTGGCCAAAAGTATCTGATCATCGGGTGAAGGACGATATTGGAAGGAGATCTGGGGCAACTGTGGCAAGAGCCATGAATTTGAGTGGAACAAACTAGATGCCAGTCTCCTTGTTTAGAAAATTAAGACATTAATAATAGCTACACTAATGTAGTACTTACCATGTGCCTTGGACTTTGCATATATTAACAGATTTTAACCCCAGGAACTCTATGATATAAGTACTATTATTATCCCCCTTTTGTAGAGCAGGAAATGCAAGCACACAGTTGGTAGGTGATTGGGACTAGGCTTAAAACTCAGATAGTCTGACCCCAGTGAATACATTTTAAAACTCTCCTGATGATCACACCTAGAGCGGAGGGTCCCTGTGAAGTATGCATGAACACAGAACATGGATGTGTCTTCCCAAGGGTCCAGAAGGGAGCAATCAAACCTAATCTTGGGAGCTCTCCAGAGACACACACGTCAGGCAACACCTATTACCATTCCCAGGCCAGCAATATGGCTGTGTAAGCGTCTCCAAAGTGAGGAGTCCTAGGACACTGAGTGTCCTTCACAGCCTGGGTTGGGACATAAATTAAGGATGTTGCCAAATGGTGTAGAGGTCGGGGTGGAAAAAAAAGATACAGTGGTTGGAATATTCCTGAGAGACGAAGAGAAGAGGTGGATATTTCGAAGGCGGTGGAGTATGGGAAAGCAGGGTTGTTTAGATAAACTGTTAAATGGATGCAAGTATAATCAAAATTTAATAAACAGGGTGAAATATATAATGAAGCCGGGGTTCAATCAGATACCTATCCCTGAGTGAACTGTGTGGACAGTTTGCAAATCCTAAGTGCTTACCATTTGTTTCATTTTCCCCACCGCACCAGATTTTCCTGATACATTTGACCTCGCTTCTGTCATAACTGAATGACAGGATAAAGGAAATAGGTTAAAACACAACATACGTGAATGCCTGTTTCAGCTTATCCCCGATGGAATCTGAAATTTTGTCCTTCTTGTGCAGTCTTTCGTGGAGGACCGGGTGACTGAAGATAGGCCTTTCCACATAGTACCTCTGGCTTGCTGCAAGGATTTCATTTTCTTCAGCATGATCCATAGTACTCTCAGATTATGCATCAACAGCAGGAGACAAGCATTTCCTGAGTGTCGCTAAAGGAGAAAATAAAGAGCCTATTTCAGATGCCTAAATCTGACGGATGACTCTTCCTAAGCATCTCTTCTTTGCAGGATTGTGAGTTTGTTGGAGGACTTCTTCATCTTTGGACATCCCAGAGCACCTACCCTATAGCTCAGTATCTAGCAACCACTAATAAATCAAGTGAAGTTAAAATTAAAAAAAAAAAAACACATGTGACTTATTTCCTCCCAGGGCAATAAGTGGTAATGTGTATGCTTTTAACAACAGCTTGTATTAAATTCAGCGGCTAAATTCTGCAGTCAGCTGGCTTTCAGTCCCTATGAGGGGAATAGTGACTCAGGCTGACTCTGACCATTTCCATGTCAAGGAACCAGGAAAAGGGCAAGATCAGTCCTTAAATTGACCCCAAGTTTCTTGAAGGTATATTATCCTCCTCTCCAATTCTGTACTCACATTTGATTACTCCTTAAATTATTCCACAATTCAGAACTAAGGTTTATATATCTCCAATGAGGGAAATTCCTGGTGACTAGTGAGAGGTTACAAGTTGAAAACATAAGTGCAATTTTATAATACTGTTTTAAAGGTGATGATGATGTCATGTTTGAGACAATTAGGATGGCTGATTTATAGACATATATGTCTATAATATATAGATATGTCTATAAATCATATATATGTATACATATATGTATATAAATGCTACATAGTGAATGTTACTAATATGAGTAAAAGAAGTGACTAAGGAATAAAAACCCAATATAACTGTGCACATGAAAATGTGTAAAAGGATGTTAACTATGGCTTTATTATACTGAAAAATTGGGAAAAAAACCTCAAATGTCTACCTGCACGCAGTAAAAAGTAAATTTCAGTAGAGCGATATATGTATGTTATAAAGTAGTCTTAAAAAGCAAACTAAATCTATTTGTCATCATCAATAAATCCCAAAAACTTAATTTTCAACAAAAATGCAAGGTACAGATATTTCAAGGATGCAATAATTTATACAAAGTTTAAAAATGTATAAAGCAATACTATATGTTGTTTATGGACACATAGATGTAGTGAATGTGTAAAACCATGAATGATAAGAGAGGAGGGGAATTAGACTCAGGGGAGATAGAGCTTTAACTTACTGTATCTACAATGTTTTAGTTTGTAAAAATAATTGGTGCAAATAGAGCAAAATGTTTAGATCTGATTAAGCCCTGCAGTAAGTGAATGGGTGTTTATTACATGATTCTTTGTATTTGTCTGTATATTTGAACTATATACCTTATAATAAAAATTAAGTGCACAAAACTAAAGTCAGTGTTCCCACCTGAAGGAAGGTAACAGCAGAAGAGATGGGGGTTAGCCTGAGCTAACAGGTGTCTATGTGGTGACCTTAGGGATGTGGGGGATTACTGACATTGCCCGATACAATTCCTGTGGGATGAAAAGTTAGAGTCTCATCAAACAGAAATTACATTCACAGTGAACTCAGGCTCGTGTGATCAACCATAAACATCATGCAAAAATAAATGCCTATGTCCAAGGAGGTTAAAAATTCCAGAGTCTAGAATAAAAAGGAAGTCTAACAGTAAAAGCATGTTAATACCAATAAGGAGGATATGAGCAGATTAGTCTGGAGAAAGAGGATTTTGCTGCAGAATCTGACAAATAGGGATCATACATCTTTTGTTTTAGGCTAGCAAGGCTTGTTGGCCATCTCTTGGCTAACTTTTTATGGACACTCTAGGAACTCATCATAATACCCAAGAACAATGGGCTGGTGTTTGTGAGTGGAGCCTGACATAGGGCAAGGCAACCCCTCTGCCTTCCTCCTGCCTCAAGTCCTCCAGAACATTACATGACAGTGTTATAGAACCATCCATAATTCAGGCAATGTACCACACATGCTGCTTTAAGCCCATGCCTACAGTTCTATTCACTCTGATAAGAAATGCTGTTTCCCCCCTCACTCTCCTTCCATTCTCCCTACACCTTGATCATTGTATCTTTCAAAAGCCTGGTTTTCAGATTTGCCTTCTGCTTCTCTGAAGTTTTCCCTTACCACTAATCCCCTGCATACTAGGTCTATATTTACTACCTATGTAATTTCCCATTTTTCTTCCCACTGATGATAATTATTGGTCTCTTCTAGACTGTTATTCCCGAGGCCATACCATACCCTGAGCTCCAAGGGCCTAGCTCAGTCCCTGTCTTTTAGCCAGCACTCAGTATTTGACAAATGAACGATATCTTTGGATTGGCGCTCATGACTGTTGATTATGTAGGTCATACTTCCTCTCTGTTATTTTGTATTACAGGAGATTAAGCCTGCTTTAAAATTTATTATTATTATTAATTTTTCTGTATACCTCCTTGGTCTTCTAATGTCCTATTTCAGAAAGGTTGTATCTTCCTTCAGAGTCACTCAAAGAGAAAAAGACAAGGTAGATCCGAGGGAGGTCTAATAAGAATCAGACTTTCTTTCCCTGTTGCAAAAACCCAGTTTTACCATTGATTTTATGTTCCCCAACATCAATTCACCCAGATGTCAATGGGATGGATTGTGATGAACATTGTCTAAAGATGTTGTAACATCTACAATCAGTGGGACCAAACCTGGCCACTTGCCACAATGGTCTGGGGAAGGTTTAAAATACTGTTATCAGGGCCTCACTTTGAACCTCCTGAAATAGGATTTCCAGGGGTGGGGCCTGGACAATGGACATTCGCTCTGTGTGGGTGTGGGCATGCGGTGCTGTACCCATGCGTGACGGCCTTCTCTAAAGGTTTCAGAGCAACAGAATAAGTGTTTACATTGAAACACAGCAGAAGAAACAAAATATTTTTTTTTTAGATTTATTTGAGAGAGAGAAAACGTGCAGGATCGAGGGAGAGGCAGGAGAGTGGGAGGGGCAGAAGGAGAGGGAGAAGAAGACTCCCCGCTGAGTGTGGAGCCCAACATAGGGCTTGATCCCAGGACCCCGAGATCATGACCTGAGCAGAAGTCAGATGTTTAACCAATTGAGCCACCCAGGTGCCGTGGAAATAAAATATTTCCAAAATATTAGACATTCTTATTCTTATTCTCAAAAGTCCTTTCGCTATCCTCAACAGGATTCCTCATTTATACCCATTACTCTGAAGGTCATTTGCCAACACCCATTTCTCCTCCTCCTAGAACGTCAAAATTCCTTCTACTTTATCAAGCAGGGCAATTACACGTGTGTTTTAAAAGTTACCTAGGAGACACTGGCTCTTATGTACAAGCAGGACCTGACCTTGAGGGGGACAAGGAGAGCTCCTCCCTGTCCAAAGTGGGAAGGCAGAGTACGTGGATACAAATACACTTAGGCTGGTAGATGTGGTGCTGGAAAGATGAGTTGTTTCTCTTTTGTGAATTGTATTGAAAGTGAGAAGGAGGGACGCCTGGGTGGCTCAATCAGTTAAGCATCGAACTCTTGATTTTGGCTCAGGTCATGATCTCAGGGGCATTCAGCAGGGAGTCTGCTTGAGATTCTCTCTCCCTCTCCCTCTCCCCGCTGCTCTCTCTCTCTCTCAAATAAATAAATAAATCTTAATAGGAAAAAAAAGGAAGGAAAGTGAGAACGCGAGACTGTTGGAGGTCTGAGTAAAGAGAATTAGACCAGAGACTGACAAGGTATTGCCAGACAGTACGATGTCTACTTGATGTCTGTGACCTTACTTGTAAGTAGAAATGAATAAATACATAAATGTGTTTTCTTCCACTAAAATAAATAAATTAAATAAATAAATAAATAAATAAATAAATAAATAAATAAATAAATGTTCCCCAGGAAATTCAGATGATCAGCTAGATAGGTATTTGACATATTAAAAAATCCTGGCTTTCAACTCTGCCTAAACTCAGAATCTCCTCAGGTGCTTTTAAAACCAAGAAATCCTGGCTCCACACCAGACCAATTAGAACACAACCTCCAGGAGGGGAGCCAAGGCATTTTCTTAAAACAGCATCCTAAGATGATTTTAATGAGTAGAGAACCACTGGTCTAAAACCTAAGAGAGACAGAGAAATAAATGTGAAAAAGACATAAGAAAACCATAAATAATTTGAAATAATTTTGAAGATGAATTTAGAATATGAGGACACGACTCAGCAGTAAAACTACTACTTTGATTTTGCCATTTTCATTTAGGGAATTGGTTCTCAGCTCTGGCCGCTCACTGTAATCACCGGGGCAGCTTCTGATGTCTGACTCTCATGCCAGGGATTCTGACTTAATTGGTCTGGGAGGTAGGCGGGGGATGAGGATGTAAAAAGCTCTCCAGGTGACAGTAACACACAGCTGAAGGTCAAAACCACTGACTTAGGGAATGGCAATATAAACACCCACATCCAAACAAAAAAGAAAATAAACTGGGTAGGGTGTAAATAAAGTGTGGGCAATGCATTATATCACTGTCATTGCTTATGTCTGTCTTTGAAATATTTAACAAAAATTTACAAAACAGAAAAATATCTCACTTAGGTTTTTCAAACAAAGTCTTGTTTCTATTCTTATGTTCTTAAAACAAGAGGGAGTTGTGTGTAGCTGGGCAGTGCAACAGCCATTAAACTTCACACAAATACAGTCTCAGTTATTACAAACATTTTGCTCTAGGTTTAAATTAGGAGCAAGTCTCAAAGAAAGATCTCAAAACATTAGATGGATTTGGGAAATCATTAGGGTATGTACTCTCTTTAGGGTTGCTAAATAAAATATAGGATGTCCATTAAATTTCAATGCAAACACCAAATACTTTTTTAGGATATGTCCCCAAATATTGCATAGAGCATACTTATATTAAAATTTTATGGTTTATCTCAAATTTTACTGGGCATCTTATATTTTCTTTGCTAAATGTGGCAACTGTAACTCTGTAGGTTAGGAGGAGACAGATATTAGAGGGGATTCTCAAATATTTTTGAGGTGTTAGGACTC